ATTATAATATAATCAAACATTAGCTGTAAAATTAATAAGTAGTTCTCGTAATTTTCACTTGTGGATTTAATATTTACGGATTATTGTAGGATAAGGTAAATCCTTTTATTGTTATGTATTATAAAATGCAATTATAACTATTAATAGAAAACTGTTATTCCCTAAAGATGTAACGTGTTAATAATTATTTCTTATTACCACAAGTATTTTAAGATTTAAAAAATTTTTTTTAAATAATTCATGCATTCTCTACGCGACTTTTGATGTTAAAAAATAATATTTATTCACTGGGATATTATCAACCAATGGTCCATAACGTCAATTTCTGATGGATTTTAAATGATTTGTACATATTCAGCAATTATCCATGATGTAGAATTGACGCAAGAGAACCGAGGTGAAGTGTGCAATTAACGTTTAAAATTCAATTACATATTTAAACAACTGTTAAGATTATATTGTAAGAGGTTTAAAATGCCAAAAGAAATCGATAATTAATATTTATTACTCGGTCATTAAAATATTAATCACATCGTGCTTATAAAGTTGTCATTTGTTTTGAGAATTCATTATCTCCACCGAATATCTTAAACTTTCAAATTTAATGACCCACCCGACTTGTTCTAACGCCTCTCCCCCCCCCTGCAAATACCTAGAATATTTCTAATGGTAAGTCAAAGGTTCACTCACCCATGTACTCGCCCTTCATTTCCCACTCCCCCCGCTCAGGCCATCGCAAACCCACACGCACGCACACACACACACACCTTTCTATCTTATTATTATAAAACGTCCGTAAGATTTTATGGACAACTTTTGTCACGACCTTCTAAGCTAATTTCAACTTACGTGGTAAAGAAAAGAATTAATGTCTTTCAAATCAAATCATTCGTTACAAATAATCTTTACAAACATCAACAAGCGATATTCTTTTTTTTTTTTTTTTTTTTTTTTTTTTTAAAATTTTTTCCTACCGAAAGAATATTTTTATGTCATATTACCGAATTGAAAATTGTATGAGTTTCGATCAGAAGCAAACATACTTGACGCCATAAATTTTTTGTACTTTATCCAGCTACGATGGAAGCATATAAATTACTTAATAATTCTTTCCAGAAGTATATGTAATATAATAATTTATTATCGAACAGTATTGACAAATGCAAAATTAATTTTCAATTAAAAACTTGATTAATATATAGTCTAGTAGTAAAATATTTGCATTTAAGAATATTAACTATTCAAGTGCCGAATGAATTTCATCTTTTGCAAATCTTTTTCTCTTACCTTCCCTCCCAGATTTGCTAAGAAATCGCACTGCTTATGCATTAAATACAAATTAATTAAACTTACCTTTCTTTCATTCCCATAAAATTACATACTTTACCATTGAACGTCTGTTGTACATAAAAGTTTTATTTTTACTATTATAATAATATTCTGTGTAGAGTATACACGTAATTTATACTTTGGCGCGTGTAATTCGAAGAATTAAACTAGATTCTTAGATCATTAAAATATATTAATACGATAAATTAATAATAAACGATTAATGTGAACGATAAAAATTATAAAAAGTAAATAATAATACGATTCTCGATTATATGTATGCGTACAATATGTATTTATTCGTTATGTGAATAATAAAACAAATATCGACATATTAAATTATTTTTATTTATCAATGCACTCGATGTATCCGTTTAACTTATTTGTTTATATTTTTTGTCGCAAGTCAATGGACAATTAAAATAATTAATAAATAACACTTGATAGATTTAACGTTTTGCCTAATATGAGGTCGAAGCCATTGTGTCGTTAGCCATTTTCATGAATTCTTGTTTTATTGAATTGTAGTTAGAAGCTGATTTGATTTTACATTTATCCATTATTATTTATTGATGGTAATCGTTTATTAACATATATTTGTTGTTATTGTTTTTGTTTTACCTTATGACGTAATTATGTGTCATCATAATTACGTCTTCATTATCATAAATATAAGTGTCTCCTGTAATAAGCTGCTAATTGCGTATGGCAATAGTAACGTAAAATATTAAAATTAAATTGATTAAACGTATATAAAACAATGCGTAGCCTGTATTTATAAGAGAGACAAGCGTAGACAATTTTTATTGTAAAAATAATGTTTAAAACTCGTGTATTTTAACGTGAGAACATAGAAAAAAACTCACCTTTCATGCAATTAATATTACACAATTGCATAGTTAAATTTCATATATATATATATATATATATATAAACTACATCAAATCATAATGAATTTTTAATCTGGAGAAAAGATCCTCCGCAGCAACTTAATTAATTTTTCTCTTTAATTATGGCAAATTGCGCAGTGTATGCAAGTGTAACCTTTCCTTAAGAGGCTTATATCAAAAGAGAAAAGGATAATGTTTATGATCCAAGTCGACTGTCAATATCATAACTGGTAAATTAATTTTATAACACTAGTATTTGTGGGCGATGGGGGGTGGGGTGGGGTGGGGGGTGGTAGTGGTGAGAGTCGCTTGTTATATGCATTATTATTTTGGTAGAATGGGCGTCGACTGGAAGAGGAGTCATGTGGACAGGTACCGACAAGTGTTGAAGTATGTTTAAAATTCCGGGAATTCCGCATGCCTTATCAAGCCTCTTCAGGGTTGTTTGTGTTTTTGGCGAAGGGTAGGTACACAAAAATAGGCGGTCTCAGTGGTATTATAAGTAGCCCTGTGTGATTTATTTGCCATTCGGAGGTTGAATTTCGAGGTGTGCACATTGCTCGTCTTTTGCTACAACTGAACTGAAAATCCTTCCAAGTGTTTCAAGATTAACTAGTGCGAATATATAAATTACGAACGTCAAATCTGCAAATTTCAGAATATTCAAGGACTGTTTAACACAGGATTATCCAGAGGCATATATATCTATCATATTTTGCCTTCGTCGGACGCATTGGCACGTAAGTAATTCATTTTCTTTGATTTTTTGAATTTGCTGAAAGGTGCGGAAGAGTAGCTCGCGAAAAATGTGATATTAACTCTTTTATTTTACAATTAAGAACATACAAGATATATTTTTTTTCAAACTCTCGCAATATCAACATTGTCATTGTTATTAATGTTATCGATATACATTTTCGACCGCTCTAGAGTAGTTCTGAGATTTCTAGAATTTATTTACATGTGTCCCTGTTTTATTTAAAAAAAAATTCATGCTTTAATGATAGTTGTCAGTGTGCACTGCTTGCTGTAATTATCGATGTAGTTAAATTTAATTATTATTTACATAGATTTTCAAATCTAAACAGTTACTCGCTGATTTACAATAAACAATTCTCTATTACTTTTCGCCGTAGCCACACGTCAACGCTTTTTCATTTTTGCTCTGTTTTTTCAAATCCTTCCATTTTCATTTATCTTGTACTTTATGAGCACCGATTATACGATGTTGAGGAGTCCTAGATAATTATTACTGTGCTTTCATTATCTCATTCCTTTGAAAAAATCATAATTATCGTGCAATTATCATTGGCGGCAATTGAACGGCTTCTAACGCCCACTCCATCCACCCTTCGTTTATTTACGCGATGTCCACCATTAGAATTCGACTGCCGGCTCGTCGGCCAATTCGTATTTCCCGCCGTCGGTATTCTCATCGCAGCGTCCTTTCCTTAATATGGATTTCCTCAAAATTTCGACTCTCCTCCCTACGCGCTCGCCCGTCCCTCTCGTCTTTATCTCTCGAGACTTTTACCGACGTCCGTCCCGCCTCACCTCAATTCCCTACCGCGGAGCTGCCGCGCAACTGTGAATTTCGGAGTGCACATGCACGGGGCTCGTTCTTACGAACCACGAAGCGCAACTCGAACGAACGCGCCAAAACGATGAGAAATATGAGAACCGATGTAAGAGCGGAGAACAGGGCTCGTCGGGTCGCTGCTGCATACGAAAACGCGAGTCTACTCTAGGGTACATTACGCGAAAAGAGCCAGCTTCTCGAGCACGTGATTCGCACACCTCGCGACGACCTTGGCCACGTTCGCGCGCCTCTAACGTCCCACCCCCTCCCCATGACCCGCCATCGGTACCTCCTTCACGTACGCAATCAGAGGAGGTTACGGCCTCGGTCCCCGTTTCCACGTGGGCCCGGCAGGTGTCGCCACAGTCGCCAGCTCCACTAGACGCGGGCGACCAGGGAAAGCCGTCGCGTCGTTTCGTCGTTTCGTCGTTTCGTCGCTTCGTCGCTTCGTCGCTTCGTCGCTTCGTCGGTATTATCGCGCATTCTCACGCACGGACGCGCTATACATGGGGTTTGCGCGCGGCCGCACGCGTCCTCCAATACTCGCCGCGCAGAGTCACTTACGGTTGGCGCTTGCGTGAAATGCGGCCGTTCGAGGGGCTGCCGCCGTCGCCGCCGCAGCCGCAGCCGCAGCCGTCGTCGTCGTCGTAGTAGTCGTAGCTGTAGCTGTAGCTGCCACGAAAACCGTGGCCGAGGGAGAGGGACAGAAGAGGTCGCGGGCTTCGTAGCGCAGTTGTGCGCTGTGCTGATAGTGCGTGGTGTGGTGCGGTCGCCGCGCGACGACGACGCCGAGGGCTTCGAGCCCCCCGCAACCCCGCGCTTTCCCGGCAAGGAAGAAATAGAGGTGGTGGTCTAGTAGGAGGAGGAGGAGGAGGAGGAGGAGTAGCAGCAATAGCAGCAGCAGCAGCAGCCACAGCAACAACAGCAGCAGCAGCAATCGCAGCAGTAGAAGCAGCAGTAGAAGCAGCGGCGACGAGTCGTCGAGCGCCAGGGTCGAGTAACATCGCGCGAGGGAGAAGAGGGAGTCGGCGCTCGCGTCTTTCGGCGAGGCGAGGCGAGGCACGAGGAGTGCGCGAGCGCGCAACCTGGACGGATGAACGGCGAGGGAGGCTGGCCGCGGGCCCAAGGAGTTGGAGGCCCGTTGAAAGCTTAGCCCGGGGGCCTGTAAGGAACGGAGCCCCCGATAAAAACCCCCTCCCACACCCCCCCGCCCCGCATCACTTCCCTGTTCGCGGAGAAGATCGCACGCGCTCGCGTGACTCTCTAGAACGAATTTATCATGCCACTGAGCCTGTGACTGGGATTTTCACTCGTAAGCATTGGCCAGTCAGAATTCGCCTTGACCCTGCGGCGCTCGTTTAACTCATCCTCTGCGTCCTCTGCAGCCTCTGCAGCCTCTGCAGCCTCTGCATAGGGTTAGAGTGCTCGGTCGAGCGCGTTATTGCTAGTCTTAGCCTCTTTTGGTTATACTAACTCTAATGTTGCAGACTCCTGCTTGCGAGGAGTTTATTATTCATTGTCGATGAGGTTGTTTTCATATGTCTGGTACGAGTTAATTTAGTAATTTATCACTTTGGTCTGCATTTCGTTTAAACGGTCCGCCGTTAGTGATTAAAAATTTGTATTTCTTTGGCTTGGCTAGTGCTTGGTCTTAGGATTTGCGATACCCGATACTATCTTGCCTTACTTATCTTGCGTTGAACACCCAAATTGTCTTTTTAAGCAGTAACGTCGCTCTTTGTTATTGGATTCACTGTAAATTCAATTTCCAATAAAAGTCATATAATTGCATCCAAGTGCGTTAAGATTGCACATAAGATAACATTTTATTTTTTGTATTATTTAATTTATGATTTGCATGCATTAGTTATTATAATCGTAGATGCTTAATGTTTGTCTTTGTTAATTATATTTTGTGGATTCCGTCGTGTTTTATATTGGGTTATTTATCAAGTTCTGATATTGCTTCTTTTATATCGATAATTACAAATTTTCATGCTTTTCCACTTGATTATTCTAGTACAAATAAAATAGATAAGTTCAGCTTAGTTACGTTTTATTATGTTGACGTTATCATAAACATTTATAATAGAAAATTGATTTTGTACAATAATTACAACATTGGTCCGATACGGTTTAGCTTGTATTTGGCTTTTTGTATATTTAGCTTGAAATTCTGAAATTCTACTAAAATTATTCGTTACTTGAGAATCAATATTGAAAATGAGCCTGTTTATAATTTATGGGAGTACTCTTTGTTAAAATAGAACATAATTAGGATATATTAAATATGCTCTTACTGTAAATTAATTATTTTAAAGATTAATCCATTAAAATAATTGTTCCTCGTAGTAAAGAAAATTGAATTTCAGGTTAAATTATAACGGACGAATATTTTATATCAAATCTTTAATATAATACTTGGTTATATTATCGATTAACCACTCTTACTGTCTATTACATTTCAATAGTAATGTTTTAAGAATTGAGATTCAATTGTTTACGACAAGATATTAATTTTTGTGCTAATTCTTAGAATTATAATAATAGTGTCAGTGTAATATATAAAACATAAACGATAAAAATGTATAAAAACAGTTGAGTGGTAACCTGAAAATTTACTATTGTTTCAGAAATAGTAATAGACAACTATGAAGATGTGGTCGTCACAAGTAAATAATTCTAGTAGTAGTAATACAACAAATAATCAGAACCTGCGTACTCTGGGTATGACGTCGGCTATAAGTATGGCAGAACCAAAGCTCAGTGATATCAGTAGAACCGTTGAGCTTAAAGAAGCTCTTAAGCCATACAATGTTTTTGAGTCGGAGGAAGAACTTAATCACAGAATGGAAATATTAAGGTTTGTCTCAATTTTAATAATCAAATATATTTAAAAATAACAAAGTAATGGTATTACATATATATATATATATATATATATATATATATATATAGAAAGAATACTTTGATATTCGATCGTTATATACATTGTATTATTTCATATAATAAATGAATCATAAGATTTCACAAGAATGCATATTGTTAGGCAATTTTGTACTTATACATTTTGTGCATTTATTATTGCTACATAACGAAACATGCTTAAATATAAATATGATTATATAAAAAATTAATATCACATTTAATAATTGTATGATTGTACTTCAGTAAATTAAATGCTCTTGTGAAACAATGGATACGAGACACAAGTATCGCAAGAAATATGCCACCAAACGTTGCTGATCAAGTCGGAGGCAAAATATATACTTTTGGATCTTACAGATTGGGCGTACATCATAAAGGAGCTGATATAGATGCTCTTTGTGTTGTACCCCGACATATAAATAGAAGCGATTATTTTACATCATTTTTTGATTTATTAAAAGGACAAGCAGAAGTAACAGATTTGAGGGTATGTATTTGTCATTATTTACAATTAAAATATTATTTTCATCTATTTGCCTAAGATTTTTATAAACTATATGAAATTATGTTCATAGGCTGTTGAAGAAGCATTTGTACCTGTAATAAAAATGAATTTTGATGGTATAGAAATCGATATGTTATTTGCTAAATTAGCATTGAAGGAAGTTCCTGACTCAATGGTAAGTTGTTCTAAAATTTCCAACTAAAATCGTTACGAATCATAAGTGATATTAAAAAGTAGTGTGGTAAGAAATTTCACATATTACAATTTATTGCACTCGATTCCAGGATCTGAGAGATGATATGCTTTTAAAAAATCTTGATCCAAAATGTGTAAGAAGTTTGAATGGCTGTCGTGTAACAGATGAAATACTCCGCTTAGTCCCTAATATAGAAAATTTTAGACTGGCCTTACGAGCTATAAAATTATGGGCGAAAAGTAAGATTATTTTCAACTCCTATTCGCATGTAATAATTTACATCCTCTTATCTAACAATTTGTTTGCTCTAATGTATGTATATTTGTTATTTTACAGAAAATGGAATCTATAGTAATGTATTAGGTTATTTAGGAGGTGTGTCTTGGGCAATGCTAGTGGCACGAACTTGCCAACTGTATCCAAATGCAGTGGCTGCAACATTAATAGAGAAATTTTTTCTCGTTTTCTCACAATGGAAGTGGCCGCAACCGGTACTTTTAAAATCGCCAGAGAATGTTAATTTGGGATTTACCGTTTGGGATCCACGTGTAAGTTTAACTCAATTCAATTCTACATTGGCAAAACTAACCAACAAGATCTATTCACAAATTTCCATAATTAAGATTTGCTTACTTGTTTATTAAATTAAATGATTGTATAAGTATTTTGTATCGCTTATCCGTTAAATAAGCGACGTCTAGAGACTATCAGATGCGATGGAAAAATTTAAATAAATCGTTTAAAAGCTAACTATTATTATTATTGTATCTAACGTAAATCTTTAACTACGTCTTTAATAATGCCTGTAGTCGGCCTAAATGGAAGAATTATTGTTTATTGAAACAACCAGACCCATTTGCACATAAAATAATCATTTGTACATTTTCCAGGTCAATATATCCGATAGATATCACTTGATGCCGATCATCACTCCGGCATATCCGCAACAGAATTCAACCTTCAATGTGTCGGTGTCGACGAGAACGATAATGCAGGAGGCCTTTGAAATGGGTTTGGCCACTACTGAAGAAATAATAATGGGCAAAGCGACATGGGACAAGCTCTTTGAACCACCCAACTTCTTCATCAAATACAAACATTACATTGTATTGCTGGCGAGTAGTTCGACGGCGGAAGATCAACTGGAGTGGTGTGGGCTTGTTGAAGCGAAAATTCGACACTTGATAGGTAAGGGATTAGCTATTATTTATTGATTTGCATTTATTTAGGTCCTTTCGATTAAACGAGCGAAGCAGTGACTTTGGATTTACCATTCAGGTGATGAGAATCAACTTATTATGATTGTTAATCATCGTTTACAATTAGAGAAATAAATAAATACTCACGCACACTCGCGCGCACGCACATATAAAAACAAATTCACAAACCTGGCATATTATTTAAAAGAATTAACAATTTTACAAGTACTTTTTTTTTTTTTTAAAATAGTTTGATTCAGTATATTCGACGTGGGTGTACTGATGTCCACAAGTCTTAATATCAAATATTAATCTCATGTATCATGCATTATTTAATATAATATAGGTACGCTTGAAAGGAATCCTCACATTACATTGGCACACATTAATCCAGAAGGATTTCCACCATTAAAGCCTGAAGCAGATAAATTTATTTCGATGTGGTTCATTGGCCTGACATTCAAGAAGGGAGAGAACTTAAATGTGGATCTTACTTACGACATCAAATCCTTCGTTGAAACAAGTTAGTTTTTTTTTTTTACTGCATAGCACAACAACCTATTGAAAACATAATATCCTAACATTTTTAAAGAAATAATTCCGTCACTTTTATTTATCATTTTAATATTGAACGTAATATTTGTCAATGTAAAAAGAATTAACATTTTATATTGGCGGATTGTCATCCATTAAAAAACGGAATGAAAATGAAAAATTATTTTATAAATAAAAACAATGATATTGAATGGAATAGTGTTTGAAATTAACAGCAATCTTTTGTAAATAACACTTGCAGTTAACTTTATATTCATTTTATTAAATTTCGAATAATCATATTTGTAAGAATACTAACCAACTAGTTTGTATTTATCGATAATACCAATTCAAAATAATTATCAATTTTATCATACATAATACGAATGTTTAATATTGACATTTTTTATTTATTTATAATAATTAATTCAGGCGAATGGCTTGTTGCGTTAGGTTTATTGCATATAAGAGACAATAGGAAGCCAATAATCAGATGGCTGATATATATAATAATAATAAACGATTTTTAATTTACACGTGTAATTAAAAGCACTTAATTACTTTTTCTAGCCGAAAGACAAGCAGAGCAAATTAAATTATTTAAAAATGGTATGACCATAGAAGCCAAACATGTTAAGAAGAGGGATTTAGCAAACTACATTTCTCATACATTGATTAAAAGAGAAAGAAAAGTATGTATTACCTACATTTTAGAAATATATAATAAATTTAAGTTGATAAAGAAAAAATTGTCATATTTTACTTGTAATTTCCAGACTTCAAGTGGAACGCAACGAAACGGAAATATTAGCGGCAACGGCGGGGTCTCTCCAAGAAATCAAAGCGACTTTTTGTCCAGGAAGAGAAAGTCTGATCAGTCTCTGGACAATAATGATAAAAAGCGAAAATTACATGAAAATGAGCAACAACCTCTGTCTACACCAGTACAACAGGTGCTTTGTAAACATCTTTTGAAAAAAACTTTTAATAGAAAAGAATTAGGTAGTCTGTTATTGTGAACTGGATTGTTGGTCGACTTTCTCCCCAAAACAAACAAATGAAAAAACAAAAGAGAAACAAAAGAAAAAAAAGAGAAAAACAAAACAAAAAAAAGGAAAAAATCTTTAAAAACAAAAAGAAAATGAACAAAAAAAAAAAACGAAAAAAAAACAGAAAAATAAAAATAACCTGGAATTATAAATTTCTAGAAGGAAGATGGTTCCGTGGTTGTCCAGTCATGCGGAGACGACAGCAATTCAGGATTTAGCTTAGAGGAATATAAGCAGACTTTAACACCTGCTAAGGACGTAAGAAATTGAATATCTTAGCAATTATTGTTTTTATCAATTTTAATTAATTCTTTAAGTTTAGAAAGAAAATAACACCAAGGTTAGTAATTTAGAGGGAAAATACGTCTCCCTCTGAAAACTGTTGTTTTTAATATTTTCATAATTTTAATGAGCTTCAATAAATATTATTGATTTTTAAATTTGTATTTTCATTTGTGATTAGAAATTTTGCCCGGATTTTAATGATAATATCGACATTTTGATTATTTTATTAAAATTGTATTTGTAATTTCGAAATTGTATATTTTATTTGTAATGAATATTATTATTATTATTATTATTATTATTATTATTATTATTGATTTATTTATTAATTTTTTGTTTGTAAATATTCTTTAAAGATAAAAATGCGTCGATAATCGAATGAATTATGTTTTTGTATATATTTACTGAAGTCGTCGTTGCTTGAATAATTATTACACAGCTCATTACTTACCACTCTTTACTTAAGCTCTCCGTAAGCTTTCCACGCATCTCTTACTGTAAGGCTAAAAGATTCTGAATAATTATAGCAATAACATCCTCAATCAGAATGTTTTGGCTTTTAATTCGGTATCTTATATTCTTAAGTTAAAGAGCTGCGATAACGAGTCATCGCTCCCATTGATGTTTATGGGAATGTGGCGAATCCTGTTTCATAATATCCGAACTTTATTGCGGATCGATCGTCTCACATCATATATGCTTTCACTTGCTTATTAATTAATAATCGTTCGATTTTGCCTTTCCGTCGTTCTTTTATCAATCGCTACTTTATTGCATGTACACTTCCGCTAATTTTATACATAAATTACTGTAATTATTATAAAAATTATGTAATCATAGAATATAATTGCATGTTTCTACCTTTTATTCATTGCAAGCTTTATTATTTACATTATCTATATAGAATATATATATATATCCGAGTTTACGATAAATAATAAAGAAATTTAGCTAGAAAGAAAACAACAAAAATTACATTTGGTAAAAGACAAAAAATATTTAAATTCAATTAAAAACATTAAGCAAAATAGATTTTGTAACTTTTGAAAAGCAAGGAAAAACTACTACGAAAAAATTATAGGGTGTTATCATCTGGGACAGTTACACTAACAAACGATAACGTGGATGTACATGATAACGCACGTATTTTCTATTCAAAACTACTTACGCAAAACCTATAGAACATACTCTCAAGGGACAAATGAGAAAGTAAAGAGTGCAAAAGTTAAAGAGTATCGATATCGAAGGTAAGGCGACCCACGCCCGTTGGCTGGCCAAATGGCGGCAGTAGAGGACGGGAGGGAGTGGGTGAGGAGGAAAGAATAAGAAAAGTGTGCGGGTCACTTGGCGATAGTAATCCAAGGTCCGGCACGATTTGGCTTGTTTTGCAGGAGGTCGGAGGAGCACCGGCGTCGGGCGGTGGAAAGGCCCCGTCGGCCCCGGCCTCGTCCTCGTCCTCGTCCTCGGCCCCGGCCCCGGCCCCGGCCCCGGCCCCGGCTTCAGCCCCCGCCCCAGCTCCACCCCCGGCCCCGGCCGCGGCGGTCGCTCAGGAGGGCTTCGTGTGCACCTGACCTGGGGCCCGCGCCACTCAGGCCCGCCGAACCACGCAGCGATCCATCGAGCCGCCCAATGCGCAAAGACTCCTCGCACCCTCCTCCGCTGCCCACTGTGTAAGTTCATCATTTTAAGCAAACAAATGAAACAAAAATGATAAAAGTGCTTGGGAGATAGAGAAGATTGCGGCAACTCGACGACGCGAGCTCGATTTCAGACAAAAAGTCGGAGTGTGAGATGTTTCGGGTTGCCGGGGCCGTGACAGGGGTAGGGGAGGGAAGGACCGAGGCTCAATGACAAATGAAGATGTTCCGAGATGATGTCAGCGCGGTCCGTACGTGCGAGCGCTTGTTTATGTTTGCGCGTGCGTGCGTGCGTGCGTGCGTGCGCGTGTGTGTGTAGCGTGCGAGTGATCGGGTGCACGATCGAATCGCTTATTCTTATGTTCCGTCTTTTGCCAGTGTCGGTGGTTTTTTCACGATGTTTGCTTTCCCGTTGTTTCAACGTCCTTTTACTTTCTTTCTTTCTTTTTTTTTTTTTTTTAAATCAATACATATACGCTACACGTGCGCGCATCCGTATGCATCTACGAAAACACACACACGCGCGCGCGCGCACTCAACACACACCGAACACACCGACACACGCGTTCGCATGCATCCACGCACACACACGTAAGCGTGCGTACTTACACGCATACATATGCGAATGTGTGTGTGCGCGCGCGTATATATGTATATATATATATATATATATATATATATATATATATATATAACACCATACATATATATCGTTGAGCAGCTATCGATGGCGCTACTCAAAAGTTCCATGCTTTTTTTTCATTTTTTATACTATCGGAGACAACGGCCCTTCTGTGCTCTTTGAGGAGAATGTCACAGCACTGTAGACGAGTAATGAGGATTTGACGTAAGATTTCACCTTGTTTTAAAGATGGAATTGTGAACTAACACCGTGTACAATGAAAGTACTGAATTTCTGTAGTTGTATTTTATGATATAACACGAAGAAGTACTTGTCGATGATAAATTTTGCTGTAACGTCAGTATGTCATATTGTAAGTAGGAATTATCGTGTGTAAATTTGAAATAATCGCTTTCTGCTTATTTTATCCCGTTATATAGTATTCTTACAATATATGTGCAAGCCACTTTCTAATCAGCTCTTATCCACATTAGAAAGTATTTCCTAATTTCGTAATTTGTCTCCCAATGTTCGAGTTCTTCTTAAATAGCAGAGAAAATAAAATTCTGTGATAGTACAAATACTGCGTTTAAAAAAGGATGGAATCTTTTAAACGGCCCGTCTTTATTACAGTCACGTACGATATGGTCCAAGGCAAAAGTTACTCGATTTTGCGAAAAACAAAAAATAATAAAAAAGTTAAGAGAGAGAGAGAGAGAGAGAGAGAGTGAGAGTGAGAGAGAGAGAGAGATGTCAAATCGCGAAAGACTCAAATTTGTGTGTGAATAATGTAGATATCGCGTAAACATTGATATAACGAGGTAAAAAAAGAAAATTGAAAATGCCAATCGATTAGGTTTGAGAATAGATAACAATGAGAATGTGTATAGGCAGGATTGACCGAGGAAAGCAAACCAAAACCCATCGATTCTGGCAAATTCGAATGCGCCCATTTTTCGTTTATAGATCATATGTTATATTCATATTTACATATACAATAAATATTATACTATATTTGTAAGTGCAGATGAGAAAGTGAAAAAGAAAAAGCGAAAGAAAGAGAGATATCTGTAAGTGAAACATCATTAATGTGTATACATATATTAATTATGTAATTTAATTCTTTTTTGCTAATATTCATACGATGATCGTATTTTTTGAATAGGATATATATATATATATATATATATATTTTTTTTTTTTTTTTTAATTCAACATTACATAGCAAGAGCAATGATATAAGTGAAAGAAAAAAGACTAAAAACGGATAAAAATGAAAAAAAAAACGAGAAAACTCCTTTGCTGCTTTGACGCATTCGATTGCATCATAAGGCAATTTGTGGGGTTTATAATTGTATGTATGCGTAGTTATATATTGTGCGTCAATTTTTTTTATCAGTGCGAATTCACGAGCGTGTGTACGGCGTAGGGATGTTGATTTACACCGTTGCCGTAATCTTTCACATACTTCAGCAAATACACAGTCACGCGTGAACAACACAGTACACTCACCCACGCATACACGCACACGCACACGCACACGCACACGCATATATGCATATATATATATATATATATATATATATATATATATATATATATATATGTATGTATGTATATGTATGTATGCATGTATATATATATATATATATATATATATATATATATGTATATATATATATATGTGTAATAAATTATTTTAATTGCTTTTCGTCGCAAGGCAAGTTTATTTGGTAGTAGCGAAATGTCAAAATGTAACGGTAACCCGGACAAAAAGAAGATTGTGTACACGATTACGGCATAATTAATGCCAATAGTCGGGGATTATTTGTTTAATACGAATGAATCCCCTTGTTCTTTTACCACGTGGACTTATTAAAAAGAGGATTTTTATCGGGCACACGCTGTGATTGTATTGCTTGAAAAACATTGAACATTTTAAAAATAGACATTTTTTTTTTTATTATGCGCCAAGCGAATGAAGCCGAGCGGTTTGAGTTATATTTTTTTTAGTTAAAAATCCTCTTTAAGTGAAGAGAAGGAGCAGACGAAAGTCAAATAATTCGGAATCATTTTGAAATAAAAGATGTAGATGGTAGATATGAAATATGCTCTGTATTTTTAAAATTCATTCTACGATTCCAGATGATATTACCATACCGATTGGTCGATCATGCTCTTCGAATTCTGTGATAACTGAAAAAATTATTCGTATTGAAAGCACACGCGACGCGTGCTTCCACATAACGTAATCTTTTGTATCAACATTTCACTAATAAGCCGTATTATCTTGACAATGCATTTCCATTAAATATAATACAAGAATTAACTCACCATCGTTCTATGGCTTTTATTGTTGAAGAAAATTGACAAACGACGATTGAATATGGCATTGATTTGTTTAGTTGAAACCTTAAAACCGCGACTTTGTTATAAATCTAATAAACCTTTGAATTTAGGTTTAACACGTATGGAAATAGTTTTTGTTTTATTATCGACGTTGACTATGATGGAGGGGGGGGGTGACTCGTGTAACGGAGAACTTCTCACGTGTGCTCTCAATATGAAATGGCTCTATTTATTTGAAGTACAGTAACGAAAATATACAATCAAAGGAATAATTGTCTTTATTTGTTTATTTTCCACTGTGAAACCGCTACTCGATTTCTTAATTTATGATTAAAAAGAAAAAAAGACGATTACGTCGAGTCATAAACGTGTATACGATCATGTATGATTCTTTTTCCTGGTGAATTATCTGTACAATGATTTTTTCTTTATGATCGCAAGAAAGTTAAAAAAGAATTGATTATATCGAAAATAGGAAAAAAAACGATAAAAGA